GTGGCGATTTTATTTTGTAATTATATAATACTTATAGTCACATACCTACAGTATGCCGAAGTGTTATTTTAAACAACACATTAAGTTGACGAAACACTTGAATCAAAGGTAATTAAAGTCAGATCCACTCGTGTCTTAGATGATCGCAGATATCATAAACCTGTTAATGTACGCATTCAAACACTCGGTCGTTTTTTTGTACCAGTTGTTCTGTATTCACCTTGCAGGTCCAGCTATGTTGCTTTATCCTGGATTAAGTGTTTAAGTCATGGATGTTTAAAGTTTAACTTCTTCATATTTGTCTATTATAGTTTACTTTTCATTCATGAAGTATGATGCTGCGCTGTCAGTACGCTTGTCCATGTTTGTGATTGGTCAAATGTTGCTCACCCCATCCCTTTCACGTGAACGCGCTCTCGGCCGGACAGAGAAACCCTGGGTTGATTTACCGAGTTGATAACCAGCGTCGTAGGCATACTTGCCAAAGCTCCCGATTTCATTGCCCTCTCCCGGTTTCCTCCCGGGGTCATATTTCTCCCGCATTTCTCCCGATTTCTGACAAAATCAGATTGACTCACGACTGTTTCCACTAGGACTTTAATACAGGCACACCATTGTTTGGTTTCCATGGTAGCGCGTCTCTTTAGTAGCGCGCGCAACTGAAAGTCTGAGAGGGTGTTCAGCATGGTGAGGAAGATAGTCACAGAAAACAGAACAAGAATGGACAACTCTACCCTCTGCTCACTCCTTTCCTGTAAAATACAGGTCCAGCCCACACATATGCTCCATCAAGGATGGTGCTACAGGCAGCAAGGCATTGCACTTACAACTACAATAAGCATGTGTAGATGTTCTTTTCATCTTTAAAAGTCTGTTTCCCCGCTGCGAGGCTCCGGCGCTAACAGCTTGAAATGCTCCCAATTTCTGAGGTCTCAATGTCGGCAAGTATGGTCGTAGGACCGCTTAGCGCCTTAGCGGGTTCTCGCTTGTTAGGGTTAGTTAAGCCAGATAACTCAGAGATATCCAGGGTCTGTAGAACTGGCTTCGTAGTACAGGCCACTGATCGATTAGGCTAAGCTAACCTGTAGCTGCTCCCTCCACACTCACAACAAGTTCATACAGACATAAATAAAGCAGCTGTATTCGCCATACAGGAAACACACATTTAAAACGGTTTTGCCTGCCGTTTTTGTGTACACAAGCATTCATTAATGGTTCGGAAAGTGGCGCTGTACCTTAATAATATAAAAGATTGTATTTGCGTGCATTTCCTGTTCGGAAAGTGGCAAAGTACTGAGAGTGGAGGTGTCCTGAGATTAGCGCCTGCAGGCAGGCTCCATGGACCTGTCAGCTCCGGACAGCGCAAAATGCGTACATGAAGCGCTACGTCATGAATGCAAGAAATCAATAAATCATACCCTCGTGGGGGCGCACTCATGTGATTGGCTTAGAATGGAGGAGACATCTGATTGGCTATAGATAGAAAAAATTACAAGTACGAATCGGGTGACCATCAGGGGAGTCTCAAAAAACCCAAACACGAATGCACAGCAATCCATGCACAGAAAGCGGTTTGTGTTTGCAGGTGCAGCGGTTTTAAACGGAAAACAAATATGTGAGGATCAAAAATACATATGTAAAACTTTTTTCTGTATTTTGATTTTATTTACATGTATATGAAACGGAACATATTTGTGTGTTTGCATTGAAAAACACAAGTGTGGATCCGGAAATACAAGTGTGACTCCTTTTGCGGATCATAATACAAGTGTGAATTATTTTGCGGATCATGAAATACAAGTGTGAATCCTTCTGTGTGCATGTGTGTATTATGAGACTGTTCTGAGCCCATACTATTCTTGGTCCTAAAGCAGTTTAAGAAACATCCGATTTTCCATGATACTTTCCATGATTTTTCGTTGATACTGTAGGCGTTGAGATTCAGAAAATATTGCATCTCGTCTCACCATGATGTGATTTCCATTCTTCGAGTGCAGCCATCTGGAGCAGCTGTAAACACATTCGTGTCTAACTGCGTTTGGGAAACACTTAAAACCTGTATATTTTCTTTTTTGGGGGGGGTTGCTTTGACAGATGAGGAATAACAAAATCGCCAATGAACCTAAACATTCGATAACAAGGCAGTGTAAAACTTGTGTGTTGAGTGTTTAAAATCGGTGGAAGAGGCTTTTTGCAATTACACTCTCAAATGCACACATACTGTAGCAAATGTCAGATTTCGATGACAGTTACTTGTCTTACACATGCTCTTAAAACTATACCGAATACATATTGCAGGTGGTGACCCAGACTCTTGAAAAATAGGTCTGTGGAACATTATTCTTGTTGCTAATCATATTTACAACACATCTCTGTGTGGACCCGCAACAGAGATGCATGATGAACTCTTGAGACTCAGCACTTGAAGACAGAACTTGAAAGTCCTGTTTGAGGAGCTGAAGGGGGAAAACTCTGAACTTGTTTCTGCTTCTAAAAGTCTGTCACTCCAGGCTGTGAATGCACCCAGGCGGAACACTGATTACAGGTGTCAGGTTCCTGCAGACACAACTGTCAACATGCAGGAGAAGAGTTGGACAGAAACTAGAGAAAACAGCATGGATATTTCCCGTAAGTCTGACTCAAAGGGGAACGGGATCTCTGCCCATGCATTGTTAGAGCATGGGCAGACAGTTTGTTGCTAAAGTCATTTTGCATGCATTGTGCATGAGAGATAACGTTATCTTTAAAGCATTGTGTGCCACTGATTACAACAGCGAAGCTTGACGATGATTTACAAGCACCAAACGACTCACCACACCTTCAGAAAAAAACATTCCCACTTGCAAGTAAAATAAGGTTCTGCAGATAGAGCAGGTAAGATCCAAATCCTCCTAGTCTAGTGGAATCTGTGGGGGAAAGCATTGGTGGAAATATCCACTGTGTTTGCAAAAAACATAAAAAAGGTTTATTTAAATATTCTTCATTTTTGAATGACACTATCTGATTGCCTTGATTTTGTGACTCCACCCACACGGACGATATTTGCTATTACTATTTGATCAGGGTTCGGTGCATATTTAGATTTTATCTCTTGGAACATTTCTGGAAGTGATTTACTCCTAAGTCTAAAGAGAAAAAAAATGATGTTTTCAATTCGTTTTTCTGGGTGAACAGACACAAATAAAAAGAACTGTCACTATAAAAAGAACTGTCAAACATAACGCCATAACTAATGCATTTCTAACCACACTCACCAGAATGATAAGGTGGTTCTGAGGCTAGACCTTTGAACTTTGACCACCAGGTAAACGTCACGTCAATGTGAAAACTGGCTTTAAGGATTAGCAAGTAAGGGGGGGGTAAAGGTCCGGTGCATGCAGGACTGAGTTTTAAGTCTTCAGATCACCTGCAAACTCTCAAGTTTAGAAAACATGGCAATAACGAGCTAAACCTCAACATGCAACTTTCCAATCTTAACTAAATGTACATGTTCATTTAAAAAAGTAAACAAACTTTCACCACGAGTCGCTGTGGTTCAGCCCCAATGTCATATTATACTCAAAACAAAAGATCAAATTATTTAAGAAAAGTTGGAAGTTGCTTTTTAGTGCACAGCAAGGGCTTTAACTTCGCACCATATCAGGCAATTCAACATAAAGCATAAGAAAGGACAGGTAAAAAGGTAAACAACTTAAATTAAACCCTGCTACGTACGGGAAAGAAAGGCTGCATACCTTAATATTGTTGGGACGTCACAGGTACAGCAGGATTTGGCTCACATTTCACATTTGTCACACCTCAAAGACAGACTGTGTTATCAGTCGAGCTACAGATTGTCAGACAAGGTTCACACAATGTCGCAAATCAAGTTATCTGAATATGAGGCTGTGTTTCCGACTGTGTAGAGCTCTGAACTTAAGTAAGCACATGGTTAACAACTACAGTTTCATTTTTCAGGCATTGGTAAATTAATAATATTGTAACTGAGTTCTTGAGAACCACTTCTGTTAGATATGAATGTTCACAGTTCACACAAGGAGAGGAGTCACTGAGATGTGGAAAGATGTTTCTGTGTTATTCTAGCATTAACTTCACAGCACCTGAAGCTACTTATTAACCGCTGCTTTGCCTATTCGTCTATCTAACACTTTACAGTCTGCTGCAAATCATGAATCCCCAATCATATGCTATCATAAGAATCTATAATTTCCAGTCAATATTATAAGTATGTCCTGAAAGCCTGGTTCAAGTCCAGCTGGGGAACATGTTGGATGACACTCTGTTTGTCTCCCCCCATTTCCTGTCACATTTTCTTCATGTAATACATATTTTAAACTAGAAAACAGGTCCCAAACTCCATCTCTAAATTTGAGCACCTTGACACACGTTGTAAACACACTACATTAAGAAGCCATCAGATTTTATGCGGGGGTTATGCAGGTGCTCCTAGCAATAAAAGCACCACCAGTGATCCAGGCCAGGGTCAAGTGTTGACGCTCACTTGTGAATCACACAGCATTGACCTTTTGACATTATTGTCACTGTCAACAGTCGGCCTACACCACACATGTATGCTGACCAGAGGCCTCAATAACAAGCAAACTAACTGTTTCTTTATAGCCGTTAGAGCAACAGTGCGCACAAACAACCCAATAATAGCCTTTGTGTTTAATGCGTGGCTTACTAATGAATAGAGGTGTTCACTATCCATGCTCAAACGCCACTTTTGCTGCGCAGGCGTGCAAACTGAATGCCTCTCCACAATAACAACAGTCTTATAATCACAGGAAGAATTGATCAATGTTCCCCAGTTGCCTGTAAACAATCTTGGGATAGTTTTAGTCTTGAAAGTGCACAAACTAAAACTGGAGAACATGCTGCTTTTTGGGCTGCAACCATCTCTGCACATGGAACCAAATTCCCTCACATAGGCTACAGTCTCTCAGCTTCTGCAGGCGGGTGTATTTCTCTGGATAAAATGCCAAAATCAAGACATCTACCTTTCAAAAGACAGCCCACTTCCAAGCCGACATATCCTCAGAAATCTCGCTGGGTTGAGAAGTATTCTGCGCGAGATCGAGAGAGGATCGAGGAGGGAAAAAATAGTCCCCGACCCCTTGTTTGTTTCCCAGCAGCGCTGCCGCTGTCAAAAATCCCCCACCATGTCCATACAAAGCAGCTCCATGGACCTACCACCCGCAGGAAGTGGCGTCATGACTGACAGCTGGAGGAGACAGGGCGCACACCCCCCTGACACACCTATGGTTTCAGCGAATGGAGAGAAGGCAGCAGTTTCTCCTGAGACTCGGACGCCCCCTAACCATGGATGGTGACAGCAGGGACAGGGGGAGCAACGTGCTCAACACGCGGTCAGTGAGTGCATGAACAAATACCAGCAAATAAAACAGAAATGTACTGATTGCAGAAATAGATTATTTGAGTGATAATCGTTTAGTATGTGAATGTGAAGTCCAATATAATGATATTAAACTGAATGAATTCAGGCTTGCAACATTGGATGCCCCTGCCACTGACCTCCTCATGCCTCCGCGGGTCACACAAGTGTTTCCTTCTCTCTTGCTCTCAATTCAATGCAGTTCAATGCAACTTGAATGCAACATAGTTTTGATTAAAAAAAACATGTACTGAACATAAAAAGAAAAAGAAGCTAATTCATAAAAAAGTAGTTATATGCATGAAACAGGTAGGCTAGTTACTGACAATTATGTTGCATTTAGACTGTGAAATGCTAAATTAGATAAAGAAAGTTCATAATTCACAGTAGTCTATTAAAACATCCTTTAAAAAAGTTAAATTTATAAATGTAAATGTAAGTAGGAATAACTTGCATAATGACTTAAAGGACAATCATTGATCAAGTAAGGGGTGGGAATTAATAAGCATTTGCTTCCTCCTACTCCCTTTCGGACAATTATTATTATTAATATGAAGACTTTTTTTGTTGAATATATAAATATTATCATGAATGTGGATAAATACTGTATTTTAACAATACGGTATTCTGTTTTTCACATTTGTTATTTTTTATTTGTTATTTTTTTTAATCTGTTCGAAATAAAGATTGAAATGAAATGAATGAATGAAAAATTGTATGTGTCTTGCTTAACAATTAGTGAGTAAGGAGTTTGATTCCTACTCTCATACATGTAGGGGAGGATGCACACATTATGGACAAATCTAAACGTAGACAACAAAGCTAGGAGGATGAACAAAATAATATACTTTTAAGTAAAGGCAAGGGGGTACAATAATGAAAAGGTTGAAGCGATACTCAAATAATGTACTTAAGTAAAAGTCCAGGCCCAGAAGGCCCATATGTGCAATGGAGGTTGAACATTTCTGTCTGTTGCATTTTGGACCAACATTTACACAATGTCACAAAGTCAGTGATATAAAGTAAACAGAGAAACGTTCCACCTCACATGATCAATGTGGAAAAGCCTTCTAGTGTCCAACTGTGCTGTAAATCACCCTGTACACCACGAACATGCAACGGCAGTAACAAGCAAAACATGTTTGAATGTGGTCAAACTTTCCCATATTTTGCTTGTAGCCTTTACATGCCTTGTCATGTCAAAACTGGAGAAGTAGACACGCATTTCTGGGGATCACACAAACCTCTCAAATGTGAGCATAAGGAACCCTTTCCAGATGCTTTGGTAGCAGTTATGATAATTTGATCAGCTTACAAGTAAAACACATTGACTTGCTGATGTGTATGAATTGTTTTATATAAAATAATATTATGGTGCACAAGAAAGATCCATGCACTTTTACGGGATCCACATGGCAGCTGGAGAACACATCATATCCCACTCTGACAGCAGGCCAAGTTGTGAGATTTTCCAGTCAAACTGTTGCAATAAACTGCCCATTAATGGAGGAGCTCCGATTCTGCGCTGGTGCCAGATGCTGAGTGTGCGACCCCGTGTGCAGATTGCATCTCTCTGCTCTCTTGTTTCCTCATCCAGCTCCCTGTCCCGGCTCCCCATCACAGTCCGTCCACGTCTCTGGCACAGAAATGGGCGTCACTCTCCTGCTTGGCACAAGGCCTGGAAACAGATACTGGCTGTTCTGTATTTTTATTTATTTATCCTTTATTTAGCCAGGAACGTCCCATTGAGACCTCTTCTTCTCTATACGGGTCCTTTGAGCACAGTGGAGCCCACCATGACCTCCAGGCACACTCAGTACTTACATGATGGTGAAAGCATTCAGAGCCTTTTCTTAAATAAAAGAAGAATTACCACAATATAAAAAATACATTTATTTGAAATGTTATTCTTGTCTTATCTGATACTTTAATGCTGTAGTTGGTTGAAGTGAAGCTGATCCAAATAATAAAGATACTTTCTAAGCTTGTCATCTGTTTTGCATCAAAAATCTTCACTTGTAAAGTACAATATTCCCCTCTTAACTGTTTGCAGCAAAACTACACCCAAATATTCAGGCCTTTTTCAGTGTTTTTTTAAATTTCTTTACAATAGTACTGAACTGGTTCTTTAGTACAATACTTACTTGCTTCCCTGACACATCCATATTGCATGAAAATGACTAATTGTCAAATAACTGTAGTGAAGTATAATGAATCGGGGAAGATTAATTGTGATATTAGCACAATATCACAATTATGAGTTCCTCAAAACTGTAGGCCTTAACTAAAGGATGTAAGTAAATTAACTTATTTATAATTTATACTTAACCAGTGCAGTATAGTAACTTGTAACTGCTACCAGATCATCAGGGTAAACTAAGCAGCACTACCTTGAATATCAAATCAATCAATGCTGCAGTGCACTGAGTCCCTCCTCGGCTGATGGTGATTTCTCCATGCGAGGAGGACATGGAGAAACTTTAGACTGAGGAACTACGGCTCGTTGCAACACGACTGAAGAGTCCGCAGTAATGGTTACGGTCAAGACATTCTGTCTGGACAGCAGCTGGTTTCCCAATAAAAGGAGAATGCTTTCCACATCTAGATAAAATAATGACAACTGCCACATTCGTTTACAACATGTCTGTCCTTGAACTGAACCTGGCTGCAATAAAACAGACCATGAAAGAGCAAAAGCTTGATGAAGTAGTTTATGGTTATGAAATGGCACCAGTCTTTTAAATGACATCTTTGGGGAACACTTACTGTGCAGATTAACATATTGGATTTGCCTGTTTTTTAAACTGTTGCAACAATAATGGAAATATGATATTGCCAGTGTTTATATGCATTATCCTATGGTAAAGGCATGAATTCACATCAATAGTGTATGACATTCAACTGGAATTTAGCCAAATTGGGTCAAACCTAACTTGAGCATAGCAATCCTTCATGTTTCCAATCATATATAGGAATATAGCTTTTTATAGAATACGTTTGAGGCATTTGGGAACTATCTAAACTTTATTTGACAGGGGTTAATATGACCAACTGAAGGACAGTAAGTGGGTCAATGTTGAGAGTTAACAGCAGCTGGATCTCTGCTGCCACCTGCTGTCCAGAAGCTGCAGCAGTAGGGAACTTCACTTTGGCGCACGATTTTATAGTTTCATTCAAGAAGCAGCCTAAATCTAAGTCAGTCTAAGCTTTATATGGACACTTTAGTTTAATACAACAAAATAGTTCAAACTATTTATTAATATTTTATTTTTCCGCATGTTTTTTATTACAATAAAATCCCAATGTTTGAACACCCTCTGTCCCTGGACTCTTGGTCATTTCATGGGGGGGGAAATCAAATAGTAGAAACCTCTGGGAGAGCATCATACTGGATTATGGACGGATACACACTTTCATACAGCTGCAATGATTCTTCAAAACATCAGTTTGTTGATGACATAAAAATAACCTGCAACTATATTGATCAATGATTCATTGTAAACGTATTTTTGTAAGTATTATTCCTCGAAATGAAATGGTTTGGGGTTATCAAAGTTAAGAATGTATTACTTTTAAATAATGCTCTTGGATTATAGTAAATGTAACATGTTTGGAGTTTGGACTGTTAAACAAGACATTTGATGATATCACCTTGGTTTATATGTTATTGTGATCGGCATTGTTCTCTGGTTTTTCGTTGAACAATGTCATGATAATATAATTTCAATTTAGAGAAAAGAAATGTCACGTAGGTGAACAACATGCGAATAGTGTAGAATATAAAGTGAGCATCCACTAGGTGGCGCTTTTGACCCATCTATAAATTAGTGAGGCCTGGCAATTTGAGTTATATGGGTGAACTCTATATACAAATTGTAAGTTTATATATGCAGAAAATCTCAATATGAATACGGAACAAATATTGCAAGTTTGACAAAAGATTTAATTTCCTTGTCCTTTATTTCAGACTGATATTACATTTCATAATCACGTGGCACAGATTATTGTTGAGTGGATCTGTTTTGATACAGGCTTAGCTTTTCTTCATTTCAGCAAATGCACTCTGCTCAGTGGTTTATTCGAGGGTCTGCCCACAGAGCCTTAAATCCTATCCACTTACATCCGATCAATAACACTATTCCATTTATACAGCCATGACATCATATGAAGCCTGTGAGTGTTACTCTTGTTGAATTCCTGGCAACTTTGGATAAAACAAAAGCATATTATTGAATTCTGACTCATATGTTTCAGTCGGCTGATCGAAAGCTTTTTATTATTTCTTTTTCTCATAGGAAAAGGAAATCCCAGCGAAGTGGTCGAAGCATTTTTTGGTGAAGCGGGAGGAGATGAAGGATGGAGCACGGCCTTTAGAGAAGCAACCACAGGATGCACACAGAGCCATTGTCTCATCAGGCTTAGTATGCAGCTCACTTTGCTCCATCACCAGGGCCAAGGCTCAAATCAATTCAATATGGTGGCTGGAGGGGGACAGTCACACAGTGGGTGTAGCCCACATACAAATACATCCAACCCTGGTCTAGACACATGGGACACAGTACAGTGGTGGATGTTGTTTCCCACGCTGCTATGTCACCTCTCTGTGCTGCAGTCACATCACTCTGTGTCGCAGACATTTGGTGAATGTGTAACTACCTAATCTGGTTTGGTATGACTGATATTTGTGATACCATGACAAGCAAAGTCAAGCCAGAAATGTGTGCTTTTGAAATATGCACCGTGGAATTTTGTTTCTTGATACTTGCAGCATGTTAATACAGTTTCTGTGACTGTAGAGTGAATATTGAGGAATGTGTGAGGCTCTCACTGTGAATGACAACCCTCCAGTATGACCTTGATATGAGATCCAGGGCTGCAGTCTCAGACACTGAGGCATGCCCACGTTGGCCTGATAAGGGCTGGCACTCACCTTGTCATCTATCTCTGTGCGGGTGTGTATTTATGTATGCTGCGGGCCAGAGGGAGATAAAATACTGCAACCATCATCTGTTGCCATATGAATCACGTTGAAGCGCAGGAGGTGAGATTGTGCCACCGCTATCTTTCCATCTGCTCTGCCGGCTGATCCCGGGGGGAGGGGGGGGTGAAGGCAGACACGTCCTGGTTTTTCCAGAGAGATTTCAAAACATTTCGCCACCATTCAACACAATGATAATGATGATCTAGTAGACTCAATAAACTAAACTGGACCAACTGGGGATTTAAAAAAATGGTTAGTTAATGCAAGAACTACTTCAATATATACTACATGTTTTCACAGACTATGATTTGGAAATGCTTGAACAAATGTATTTAACTGGAAAAGCCTCAAAGTGTGACACAATTGAATAGACAGTATCAGGATGTGAGAACAAATAAACACACGTAAATAAACGGCAAAGACAAACTACTTCATTATGTTATGCTTTATTAATATTTGAAGCAGCAAAAAACAACACAAATACAAATGTCATAGTGATCAGACTTTACCTGCTTACCATTCCTGCTTGATTGCTGGGTCAGTGTTTTTCTGCAGCTGTGAACAAGCCTCTCTCTGTAGACTGTATGGTGAAGTATTGCTGCCCTTCAGGGAAGGCGGTAGGTTGTACAGTTATCTCCTTATTGGGCAAAATCACTACCCTGAAACCACACAACCTACTACCTCACCCTGTTCGAACATCAGAAAGGTGCCGCAGACTGCCAAGTGTTGGTCCAACTTCCACTGGAGAGCCATGATGTGGAGGCACATGTAAACACTGTACGTTTTCTTATAGTACATACAAAAATCCAGGTACATCTCACACACTTGATATATAAAGCAACTTAATGTACAATGAGAGGCAATGACCAAGTTGAGTTTTCATTTTTAAAACATTACATTATCGGGGAAAGAGGAAGACACCTAGATAAGAGCAGGTTTGTGTAAAAGTTACAACACTACAGTGTGAGAAAATGTAAATACATATTTATTTTGCATTGTTTATTTGCACACAGACAACCGTAACTTCTGAAAAAAAGCACATTTTATTTACCATAATGTCTTGAGAAAACATTAACTACAATCCTTAATGAGCTACGACTTTTAAATACTGCATGGGAATTCTGTGTTCAGCAGTCAGCGGGTACACATGCTCATACCAGGGTGGATCCAGGTTCAAAGGCTCCAACAAAGGCATCTGATGACATTACAGCCACTTCAGGAAAGACAGTAAGTTGTATAGTTATCTGACAGGAAGGGTATGACCCTAAAACTATACAACCTACTACCTCACCCCAAAGGACAGTCTTTAACAACAAAGTCACGTCAGGTCCCCGCACATGCAGGTAATCCGCTTGGCCACACCTCGATGAATGCAAAACAGCGGTTATGATTCACTGAAACACAAACACTCATGGCCTCTCCTCACCGCTGTGAATGCAGTCAGTGTGTTCAGAACACAGTGTGACGACCGGGTCATCCGGTTCAGGGCTGCAGCTTCAGGGGAATTCAAATGATGCAACAAGGTGCATATGATCCAAACAAATTGTATGGGTGGGATATTTCCATATTCAAATGAGCCCAGCAAATAACTCGGAGGGTACTGTGACATTGAAAACATGCAAAGTAATATAAAGTTTTATCCACTTCAGATCTTATCAAAAAAACATTATAATAAATAATCTGTGGTTGAAAAATCCCTCTTTGGTTGAACTGCTTGCAATTTATACATCTCACGTGCAACCTGTGGCTTGGGGTTGCGATTAGCAAATACTTAGATTTAAAGGGGTCACACGCCAAAAGGATTGGAAACACTGTTCTTAAGCTTTACTGCTCACAACATACCAAACCAAACCGGTTTGTTTCGTACAACAACCTGCACACATTCCTCTGTGTTATAAGAACTGTTTGTGTGCTTCAGAGAGGAGAGTGTTACCAACAGTGACTAGTATTGACAGTCAGCTAGCTCATATCGTGGCTCACATGTGCGGAGCAGAGGACCTGCTGCCCTGTTAATGTTTCTCACCTGCTCTGCAGCACGCAGCACATCCTCCCATCAGGGATCCAGCAGCATGTCAGGTAGCCTCCATCTGAAATCCCGAGAGGGAAAATCTGCTACTTCTGCAACAAAGGAAATGGAGAAATACATCAACGAGAAGTCTTCAAGATTTGCCCTCTGTGAGATCAATGGTACTGTAAGCCCCCCGGTGGCTGACGGAGTGTTTCTGATTCTCCATCCTGCATGTTTAACTGTCACACTCAAATAAAGCCATATCAGGGTAATCTTTTTTAGCACGTACCTCCACAGATATATTTGTATGTCTGTGAGGCACAAATGTACAGCACAGCATAATACAGAACAGTATGTCTTGAGCTAAGAGGCCCCATTGTGTCTGCTCAGTGGTGAGTCTGAGGCTCTTTGCATTATTCAACACTCCCATACTTACACCATATCACTGAATGAGTGGATTGTAAGTATGCACAAGCACACACCCTGGAAGGTAACACACACACACACACACCAGCAGCACACAGACGCTTCGCAGAAGGACAGATGCATTATGGCAGTGTGCACACATACACATATACAGCAATGACAGGAAGAACAGGGGAACATTTACTTAAAATTGATTTAATTTAAAGGTAACTATGTTAAAAGTCAACATATATTTAACAGTTCTTTTTGTGACATTATTAAAAGGGGAGAGCCTAACATAACTGTTTTGCAAAGGGCCCCCCTTTTAGTTGACTGATTAGTAATTTGGTATTCATTTTAGTCAATTGTTTATTTGAATAAATGCTTTTTTTTCAAGCCAAAATACTTATTTCCAATAAAACTCTAAAAAAAACAGATTTTACGTGGTACCCTTTCCACATTTTTTGATAAGATACATTTGACTGATCTGTTGTTGCAATCAACTAAACTACCATTTAACAAAATCCAGTGTTAGTCGACTAAGAGTTTCTTTAGGTTAGTACATCCCTAGTTTTGCAGAAAGCTTAAATCTAAATTAAGTTGCTTTACTGTGTTTTTACGGTAACTAAATATAAAAAACGGTCTGCATCGCGTATTGCCGTTCCTATCACAGTCTATTCTCACCGTGCACCCTGCTAAACGCTCGGCAGTGTTTCAGACTTCATAAGGTAAGGTCAAGGAAGACACAGTGTCCTCTCAGTATGCTGACTAGACGTACTTCAATCTAATATAGTAGATGGCTCTGGGGCCCTGACCAACAGAGTGCATGTCCAGGAAAGCTATTGCTTTCAAGTGAAGCCAGGTGCCATCATCCAGTGACAGGAAGATATTCACACTCACACCCACTGCAGAGCAGCAATATGCAATGTAAGCACACACACATACATGTACTGTAGCCTGTTGTACACTTCTTCAGGGCTCTTCACACAGATATGGAATAAAATAAAATAAAAACACCTACACTACGATGAGTTTGTCCACCTGACAATTCAGCCTTTGTGAAAGTACGAGCTCAGCAAGCACCTCTTCACTTGAAAGGTGCAAAGAATCTGTAACTGATACTCTGTTTATAAGCCAGCACCTTCTGCAAGTCCTGCTTTCTACACCTCATTTCATAATGTCACCCAAACACGTATTTACACTGTCATTGCATAAACAAATACATACACAAGGACACAGTTTGAGGCTCAAACACCAACATTTTCACACAATCATGGAAAAAATACCCTTCAGAGGGAAAAGGAAAAACATGATATTCATTTACCTCATCACATTTTCCCACAGCGTTCACAGCAAAGGCACACACTGCTTAAAAAGCCACTTTAATTCAATCACACTTCACTCTAAGTGCTACAGTGCCTATCAATCAATACTGGAGCCCAGTCTCACTCACTGATAGTGGGATGGAGTGCTGTAACCTTGTAAACTGATCTTTGGGGTTTTGGTGGTTTGTGGTCAGTCAATACGGCGAGTAATCCGGAACAATGAGCAGGACATTTACACAATATGCATCCCCGATCCTCATTCATATTTTCTGACGTTTTATTGGCACTAATATGGAAACATTTGAATGAAACCTCGACATTGAACTTGGTAAGTTTAAAAAAAATGTCTCTCTTCATTGACCCTCCTCAGCATGGCCTTTGTGGATGCCTTGTGGCACCGCACGATTATATGAGTGCTTATGGTTTTGTTTGCACTTTGCTATGCAAAGTATTTATGCTCATTAGTTCCTGTGTTTATACGCGTGTGGCTTCCCCTCTATCAGGGAAGTGGTCGGGAACACTGAGACGCCTGTGTGCATGTGTCCCTCTCCGGTCTGTAAACATCTATATGTGAGCGCCGGTACAGTACGAGTGAAGTGGTGTCTGGGCGCAGACAGGAGGAATTCAGAGAGACACGATGCATAGGTTCTGTGCCCCCCAACAGCCCCCTCTGGGTAGCGCAGCAGGCATGACCCATCTATTTATACCAGAGCCAGGGGGGAGGCAGCGGGAGGGCAGGGGCGAGGATAGGCTGCATGGGCAGGTCCTGTTACACATGCCAGGGGGGATGGCTGGGGCAAGCCACAGGGGGATTCTGCTCAAAGTCAGACAGGCTGACCTCCCCGTCACCTCTGCATGAGGCCGATATCCAGCTCGCAAAATGTGTGAGTGTGTGTGTGGAGAGAGAGAGACAGTTTACGAGTGTCATATATGACGGTGCGTGAATGTACAGTATGTGCCTGCAGGAATGTCAGTGGAGCTACAGGTATGCATTTGTGTATGCACAGCGTTTGTGTGTGTGGATAAACCTATGTACACATGTGTGATGGAGTGTACGCCTGCAATGTGCATAATATGTGTGTCCGCCTGTCAGGCTGTGAGGCGAAACGGCCCCAGTGACTCCCCCCCCCCCCCTCCATCCCCCAGCACAGCCATAAACATACCAGGTGAAGATGGCTGGATTAGGCGGAGTTAGCTGATCCTAGAGCAGCCCCCTGGCCCCATCTTTAGAGGTAAAAAATGACCCCAATGATTGTAATGACAGGGCACGCAGCAGGGGTCGCCCAGACCACTCGGCCCGACTTCGCCAGCTGCTTCTCGTCTCTCACACACGCAGTATACACTCACGTGTACACAGGGAAACATACACACACTTGCATGCATGTTTGGACATATACACAGATTGTGATATGCTCATGTAAAGATTCAGAGGCTCAGACGTTGTGACTCCACGCTGATGGAGGCTGATGAAACGTGCATTGCCATGTGTCTGCTGATGACCTGTTGGGCCCCCATCTATTAGGAGGAGTCTTTAGCCCCCACACGTCTGCATGCCCAGCTCTGGTCCGGCCTGCCTGCAGGGCCCCTTCAGTTTGGGCAGTGCCCCATCAAGCTGCATCTGTCGCCAGCTATATTTAGAGGGTGGGACAAATACCTTTCTCCCTGCATATGAACCTCAGCTGACAGACAGAGGGCCAGAGTCGGCAGACAGGGTTCTGTGCGTTTGTAACCTTGAAGAACTCGTTACCCCCGAGCTGCAGCTGGCAGTAGTCAGACTCACTACAGTGGTGAGCAGTCACAGCTAACAGCTAAGGCTGTAAATACAGCACAGTTAACCACAGTTAGCATCGAAGAGCTTGATTTGGCAGCCGTTATTACCGCCAGTTCCTATAGTTCCAGGACTGCTGCCAACACGAAGGAGAATATATAGCAATGTACTCTCTGATAAAGAGATTTAATAATTCTGTGTGTGCTATAAAAGAACGAATTTCTGTGGATTTCAATCCCCTTCAAATAGACCTACATTTCTGCCTATAAGCATGTGTACGTGTGTGGCACTGCCAGCGAGGCAGTCAGTGTGTGATATGTGACCATGTTGCATGGCCATCTGCTCTATATAACCATAAACAAACGCAGGCAGGCCAGCCTCACAGTACCATTTCCAAGAGGTCTAGGCCGAGTAAATATATTCATGCTTTGGTCTCTGGGTAGATGCTGTGGAGATATGCCCCAGAAACAGACCACGGTTATGCAATAGCATTCATAATTCATTCCACAAACACAATATGGAGGCCACTCTGTCCCATATGCAAACACATGGCCAGATTAAGGGCTTTGGAGCCAAAGGGGAGTGCATTCTGAACTCTAAGCAAAGCCGTTGACTGTATGTCTGTCTCAATGAAGCTCGTCTGTGACAGGCCTAAATAGGCCAGGTCGTACTGCTGGAGGGACCTCTGCTATATTTTGCACCTACAGTCTAAATCAGTAACATGCCAACAAAGATACACACTGATACAGTAGCAGACTTTTCACACCATCACTTTCAGGCCATTAAAAGATACTAGTATCCAGATATACTACACTCTTTTACCCTTATTGACAAAAAGTGTTTCTATACATTGAAGACAGCCACACGAAGAAGTCTTCTATATTCCTTAAAAGGAAAACTCAAAATCTTTGAAGAGGTTGGCACACTGGTCACCTTACCTGTTAAGTTTAAAAATAAGTGTGTCCCAGTAAGCTAACCTGCGAACTGTACGTCTGCACATGTACGTACAGTAAGAAAGAGGGTAATTCTATCAATTGTATGAATTGTTGGGTAATGGAATAACAGACGAATAATGCTTTTTTTAAACTTGAAAAAGTTAATTGGGTAACATCAGTTATATTGCGATAATTATATACTTTTGATGGAGTCGAAATGACGATAATTACAAATGACCAAAATAATTGCTTAAAGCTTTTTTCCCAATTATCTTCCGTTACGTTACTAAACACAGTGTAAGCGGAAACACAGGATGATTATGTGTGACTTTTTAAGGTATGCTTAGCAATAGGACTTTATCCCAGCAGACATTTGATTTGTCATAGTAGGACAAACTAAGGTTTTACTAATACAACGGAGAATGGTGTGTTTTACAGTAAGAGTGACTGAACAAGCATGCATAATACCAGATCCTGAAACCAGTCAATCTGAATATTACATTAATTGCAATATTATAATTATATAATGTTTTTCCTACAGGTCCAAATGTCCTCTGTGAAAAAAGCCTTTAAGGCAGCAGCAGCAGCAGCAGTCACCTACTGAAAGCTCGATTTAGTATTCGTGGTGCTGGGGTCAGATGAGAAGAGGATTTAATAACATCTGCACAAGTAATCAAATATCCAGAGCCGCAGGCAGCTAGCTGCTGTAGCTGCAGGCTGTGGGGTGGGGCCGGGGTTACTAAGTGCATGTGACAGTTGGGCTGAAGCGACAGCGAGTAGTGTGCTGTGGTTAGGCTCGAAACAGGTACATAAGTAGAGGTTAAAGCTTTAGTCATGCACTCGGGCTGCAAAGTACTAAAAGGAGAAGTACTTATATCTTGTACTTAAGTCAAAGTAGTAATACCACAATGTAGGAATACTCTGTTACAAGTCCTGTATTCAAAATGTTACTCAAGTAAAAGGTACATAATAATTGGCCTCTAAATATAATTAAAGTAACAGTAAAAGTACTCATAATGCAGATTGGCCCATTTCATGTCATATATATTATATGTTTTGATTATAATTATTGATGAATTATACGTATATCAATCTGGTGCAGGTCAAACTCATTGAATTACTGAATGTACTCCTGGGTAGCATGTGAATTTAATCAATGTGTGACTAAAGTGTTGATCGTATTGTTTATCATTCATCTATATCTGCAAAGTTCCTAAAGGCACTTAATAAAGGTAGAGGAATAAAAGTACAATATTTACCTCTGAATTGAGGTGGAGCAGAAGTAGCAAAAGAAAGTACCTCAAAATTGTACTCAAGTACAGTATATGAGTAAATGTACTTAGTTACTTTAGACCCCTGTATAAGCGTGCAGGTTGTGTTACTGCTGAGGACTCTGGGTAACTGTGGAGCAGAGAGGGATGGAGGGTGGAAGGGGGTCATGCAGCTGTGGACCCTGCCAGCACATTCGGCCCCGGGTGGAAAAAGAAAAACGTTTATGGCGTCCACCCAAGGTCAGCCCTTTGAGAAGAAGAGCTGGGAACGTTCCGTAGGGGAGGCTGCTTGTTTGCATGCAGTCAGCCAGCAACAATAAATAAATAAAATCACTCTCTTCATCAGAAAAATACATATAAAGTGTTCTATCATAGTAATCTTTTCTTCAATTCCTCTGTTTATTTTAATTTCCTCCATAACCCAGCATCCACTTGCACCCCCTTTTTCTCCCTCACTTTACTCTGCCTCTCTCATCCTGCTACCTGACTATTTTGGCAGCGAAACACAAAATGGCGGCGGGGAGCTGAGAGCTGGAAGGCAGAGAGAGTGGAAGCCATTTTCTAACAGATCCAGACCCCAGCACACAGAGAGAGAGTCAGGACGTAATGTCAAGTGGACAGTAGAGATTAGTGTTGTCTGTGCATGTGCACTAAAGATACCTCTGATTGTTTTTTATTTAGCGCACTAACAAGCCATTGGGACCACTTGGCCTTTCACATCAGATATAGACAGTATACAGCCATTATGATTTAATCTAATGCATGATCATATTATAATAAGTCTCAGGAAGAGGAGTAAAATAGATTAAGTCCAAGTCAAACATCTAACAAATGATTTATAATTAGAGCTTCTATCTTATCAAGTGAAATGCAGGACAATACAAGCTCATTACAATACATTTCATTTCAAACCTTTATTTAACCAGATTGGTCCCATTGAGATCATAGATCTCTTTTTCAAGGGAGACCTGCAATACATCCTCAAATAACAAAATATTAAATTGACAATAGGTACTTACGATGCTGCTACGATAGCCGGTCTGTCTGTCCGTGATTTCACTTGTTGGCCACATTTGTTTGTGCCTGAGGCTGAAGTCAAAACCCATCGCACTGCCTGCAGGAGAGACAGAGAGAAAGACAGACAGGGAGTGAGAACTGTATAGTCGAAGGGAGAGACAATTCACAGCGAAGACAAAAAAATTGCATACAGCATGAACAGGGAGTGATGAGTTGCCGCAGAAGCAGAGGGCTGTAGGGCTCCTCTCTGTAGCCTGTTCACTAATAAGCTTGCCCCACGGTGTTGCCTGGCCAAGGAAACTCATTAGTGCAACATGTAACACACCGCACCCTCTCTGCTGGCCTGCACACCGGCCAACTCTCCCTGCCGCATGCTCACCCAACACCAACACACAAGCTCCACCATGGTCTTGGCCTTGCCTCGTAGCACCCACTCGCTGCATACGTGCACACTCTTTGGCATGCTGTATTCCTGAAAGCCCACAGTGTCATGTGCGTGGGTGAAGTGACTCGTATTGCGTGTACTTGTGAGCATAAAAGGTGATTTTCCTGAACATGCAGCACAGTATGTTCGTCTTCACACATGTACAGGCTGCGCAGCGTTAATGTAAGAGGCAGCTTTTGACACCAGCCCGCGTTATCCTGCGCATACGTAGGCGTGTGATGCCAGGGCCGTCGTGTGGAGGTGAAATGGGACAAAGGAAAACAGAGGTATTTAGTCATCATTAGTCGAGTCTCAGATTGCAGTAAAATCAGAGGGCGATCGAGATAAAGGGACTTAAGGTTGTCCTCTATCAGACCAAGGAGGACACATGCAATTTAAAGCCTCCACTCAGTGTGGCGGCGGCTGCTGAAGGGTGATAATTCTGTACAAGTATGCTAATTGCAGCGCAGGACACGGCATTGCAGGGGAAGGGTCTTTTATATATTGTTTCTAACGTTTGTAATTACAGTGCAGTGCCTTGGACCGCTGCCAGCACATGTTTATGGGCTCATGAGTAACCCAACTCCTCCAGCCCATGGAGGGAGATTCATGCCCGAGCTGTGCACTCGCTGCCCTCTGTGAGTGAGTGTGTGTGTTGTTTGTGTATATGCATGTTCATGACTCATATCGACTGGGAAAGTATGTGCAGAGGGGTTAGACTACAGTAGATTAGTATAAACCACACGGATAGCTGCAAGCATTGCACGAAAACACAGAGTGAAGATTCCTTTTAATGATCCCTATGACAATATACCCTTTTCATACAGTATTTAAAACTGTAACTTAGAAGTACACTGTTAAATCAGGTGAGTTGATTTTAAATCTGGAAGCTTTACCATTACAAAGCAGTTTGTACAAGGAAACGTAAATAAAGAATATTACTGTTTAATTTAACAGTACAAATCATACTAAAAAATACATACTATAGTTAATATAGTTATAGTTAACTAACAAATGAATGTAAACGAAAATCAAAATCGTATAGTATTTTCAGTTTTCCGTACCAAAATGAGTAAAACAAAGACAGCTGGAGCCAGTATATTTGTTTTTCTCACTAAATGTAACCAACATAATTCATCTCAGTGCTGATAAACAGTAAGTAAGTGCTGAAGTGGAGGTGAGGTGAGGGAAGGGATTTACAGTATTTTCATAGTCTGAGAGTCTCAGGCGATGCCTTTCAACACTTCCAACTCTACCTCCAAGTTGAACAATTTAGCTGATTCTGCAGTTTTTCTCTGACTAAATTGCCATGGCGACAGCAGAGGCCAAAAGCTGGAGAAATATATGAGCTTTGGAAAATAAAAAGTTGAGTGGGCTCAGCTCAGCGTTATCTGGAATATCGCTTTGCCTGGCAGGTACATAAAACAAGTATCTATCCCCACAATGTGTGTTGAGAGACTCACACGAGATGCAAAGCCTCTCAAACACACACACACGGAATCCATCGAGTGGTCAGAAACAAAGAAAACTTCAAATGTATTTTATAAATATCAATCTGGCTGGGGGAAATAAATCAGGCTGTCATAATGAAGTAGTTTAAAGGTTTCTAAATCAATAGCAAGTGTGTAAGAAAATTGCCCTTGGGTAAATACATTCAGGGGGAAAAAGAGCCCATGATGTGAAGGTGAAACTTTCACAGGTCTCTTTTCCTCTGGAGAAAAAGAGGGGAGAGAGAAAAAGAAAAAGTCTACATCATCTGTCACCCCCCAAACCTCTCCACCGGTCCAGTATTATGTCATTGTGACTGTGCTCACCGTCTCTGTGGACTTGCTGTGGTTTTGTGGATAAATTACATGTGACACTCCCAGCAGACATCCTGATTAACACAGGGAGAATAAAATGGCCCCCAATCCTCAGTAGTCAAAGGGGTAATGGACTAATGGCTTCCATGTATGGCGAGAGAAGCGAGGAAAAACAGGTTAGGTTTGTATGAGTGTAATGTGTGTGTGAGTGCATCAGCATACTTGTCTGTAATTACTTTGTTTATTGAGCCCTGAACTTTGGGCTTTCGTGCAATCATTTTTGGCACGTTTGGCGTACCAAAGAGTGAACAGTACGCGTGTGTGTGTGTTTGTGTGTGTGTGTATGTCTATTGGGGTCTCGGAGCTCTTTGTCCAGCTTTCTTTTCAGGTCTGGCCTACTTTCTACTGTACTGTAGTGCTGATTCTGTGTGATAACCTGTAGTGGCCACTGTAGATCCACTCCTCTTCTCTCAGGCTACAGGAGGGCCACAGCTTGGCCAGCTGCTGCCACACAGAGCCCATCTGACTGCACTCACCTCGAGGAGATTTCCACAGCTTTTCCACACAACTAACGAATTAAAGCGTAAAGAAGATGTTCCTATGATTGACACAAGCACTCTAAAATATAGGCGCCTCTCAAGTTTTTGCAGAAAGATCCATGACCTTCTTAAGTGCTAGTTTGCCACTGTGGGAAATTTAAATCCTGCTCAATTTCCACAAGCATTGACCTGCTTGTGCTAACATGCTGCATAGTGTCAGTTACTTTGCACCTCTGCTTATAGTCTGTCAGTAAGAATGCTTGACCTCGATCTAAAGCGGGACTGCAAAGTCATCATATTTATACCTCCATATAAACATAATTTTGTATTCACATACATATTATTTGCATAATATGCCATGTTTCTAATTTCAACAAAATTAATTTTTATGAATACGTTATCAAGTATTCATTTAATTCAAAAAATTAGGAATTGTAAAATGTGAATTTAACTTTTTGAAAGGGGGTCAGAAACGGCTAATTTCTGTCAAGTAAAAAAAACGTTGTTCTTCAAATCTATTAATAGTGAATATATATTTATAGTAAGCAATATTTAGATATTGTATCATTTTTGATTCAATACAGAACATAGATGTATAATGTCAACATCAAAATCCTCTTATATGATTACATCCATGCATGTTTACTAGTCATGACCTATACAGTACTGCATGTAATTCATATGAAACCCTGACAGTCCTCCAGAGAGCTCAGACATACAATATCACTTTACGTGACTTCTCAGTTTTCATTGTACTTAAAACAGCACACTGAAACCGTTTTAGCAGGAGAAATTAAAAAAGGGTTCATTATTACAGTAGAAAAAAATGCAGTGAATTCTCCCCCATTCCCCACTCCAATCTGGGTTTCATATTAGCCAGGAGGAAATTGGATGAAATTCACAACATCACAGCAATGAAACAAAATCACATAATGTTAAATACCAATGTATCCACTTAACAAAGTAGGCAGTGTATTGGTGGCTTCTTTGCTGTGTGTGATGTACATGGTGAGTGACTCATTTTCACTGTGTTGCACTCGTAAGAATACACTGAGCACTGACACATGACCGAAACCACACACACACACACAAGTATCTGGCAGAAATACTCAGATCTGGAGACAGAGAGTAGTCTCTACAGTGCTGCTGCAAACAAAACCATCAGAATCTACAAAAAATGAATTTCCTATTAAAAAAGTGAGCTAGCAATCAAAACATATCACTTATTTCAACTTACATTACACAATTAAGCAATAACACTACACCCCTGACACATATTCTTCCCATCAGTCAATTCCCTGTATGATGTTGTGTGAAATAAGAGTTTTAATATTAAGTTTGCTTCATTCAGACATGTGGAAATGCCTCAGGCTGCCAGTTTGTGACTCTATTTCCTTATGTAAATTATTATATATTTTAAAGCTCATAACATTATTGAGAATGACAAATAATGCTTTTTTTTTTTTTAGAGCAATTGCGATATTAAAATTAAATAACTCAATCTAAGATACCTTGAAATACTATCTTCTACTAATGACTAGATAGGAATTAGGAAATTCTAAATCATGACAATTGTAGATTTTATGAAGACCACACACACACACACACACACACACACACACACACACACACACACACACACACACACACACACACACACACACACACACACACACACACACACACACACACACACACACACACACACACACACACACACACACACACACACACACACACACACACACACACCACACACACACACACACACACACACACACACACACACACACACACACACACACACACACACACACACACACACACACACACACACACACACACACACACACACAGTCTAGATGCTATTATTGTACCTACACGAATTGCAATGCTGTACAAATATATAATTCCAGAAGCTTACATTTTTCTCTATATAGACATAAGAGTTTTAATTCAACGTATTCCGTCTTCTGAACTTTATGACAGAACTTTTACAATTCTTAAATAGTTTATTCTTTAGGGAAAAAAGAGGGAGTACATTTAATCTTTTTCTCTCTAAATGCTTCGTAATGAGTCATATGATAATGTAAATCTTACATTATGTCTTATTATCTTATTCAAATTTAAATCAAAGCATAGCTCATTAGCAGTAAACGAAAAGCAAATTAAAGTTTTATAAAAAGCCTGAATTACATATGATTATTACTAACAATTACTGCGAATACTGCAGAACAATAATTCAGAGGAACATCTTTGGGATTCATTTCCAGAGAATTTTCGTTGCATGCCTACAAGTATCAAAAAGTAAGAAGGTGTTGGATTTTTTTTTGTTGCACCAAACAAAAATCATACAATTCTTAACAATATATATTATATTCAAAGAGGAAAATACTGAGTTATAATTTTTTATAATTTTTTTCTCATTCAAGTTCAAGGACACCATCAGGTTTAAGAACTTGAACTTGTCCTGCAGTGAGATGTGGCTCCGTTTATTTCCACTACATTTGTTACGAACTGGTATTCACATATAAAAATAAATAAAATAAATATATACATTTCTATTTTGAGAATATAATGAAATATATTATTTGCTAAAATACATATAAAAAGGCACTTATGACTGTAGAGGTTTAATACAACTAAAACGTTGAACACACCCTATCATTAAACCGAAGAACACACACACTTAAAAGGGAAACAAACCTATAAAGAATTTTTTAAAACATGCTCATTACTGTTAGAATGAATTTTAATCTCAGATCATGAAATAAAATAATTAAAAAACGACGCATAAGAATACGTAAGTTTGATTTGATGTGTATTTAGGTGTGTGTGTGTGTGTGTGTGTGTGTGTGTGTGTGTGTGTGTGTGTGTGTGTGTAACTGGCTAGTAGAGCTGGAGTTTGCTTCAGTGCACAGAAGGCCTGGCTGTGGGCTGTGCCAGGCTGTTGGGTTGGTCAGGTATACTTTTACAGAGAGCGAAGAAATACTGCTAACCCTCACCACCATGCCATCTGCCTCTCGACATGCAGACTGGACTCCAGCCATCCTTTGCCAAAAAGGCCTAAGGGGTGGAGTAGTGTAATACTCTGCCAGCCAAAACCATGTGTCCACTGCTAGTTCTGCAGAGCTTATATCCATATAAATGAACATAAACGCCTATGTATGGAAAAACTGAACCCGGGTCGTGAATCACCCGAAAGCTTCCAGTGATCCCGGGTTAGCTTTGCCCTTAAAAGAAGTCCCATTTAACATAAACGCTGATAAGCAGAGGAGCACATGAGTAGAACAAAGAACAACAACAATTAAAAGATATTTGAAAACATGTATTAAGTATCAGATTTGGTTCGCCTTTCAGGCAATCTGAAATATTTAATGTTACAAATTGAGCTAGGGATTTTAAATTGCCATATGCAAGTCTCATTTACTAATGCAACCTGACTTTTCCAGTAATCAAAAAAAGTTAACAACCAAGTATGGACAAAGAGCCTATAAGAAGGCAAGCAAATGAACGAGAGTCAAGTTCATTATTTCATAATTGTTGTGTAGTTTTATGACTTTTTATGGTTTAAACTTTTCTATGGCTTATTCATGTTTGTTCTTTTTTCAAAAGAAAAAAGGGAATGTTTTTACATGCATCAATGTAATTAGAAAAGCATTTCCAAAATATTACAATGCAAAACATGTGTACTTTGAAATCCTGTGTAAAGTAAATGAAAGGTCGATATAAAAAAAAGGAAAAAACAACCAGGAAATAATGTGATCATTATAATTAAGTCGTAAAAGTCATTACCTTTTAAATGGCAAAGCGAAGGACTATCTTTTCTATTTATTCCGCCGCCTTAAAAGAAATACAAGCTTGGCAAATACTACCCGTAAAACTTCAAATTGAAAGATATGCAGAGTACTCTCACTGAAATATAGCTGAAAGTCATGCCTGTGACAACATTAAACGGATCACAACAATCTGTACACCACGTACTTCTTGTAATACACAACATAATAACATACTAAGCTCGGACCACATCACTCATTTGAAATACCTCCACAACCGTGGCCTTCCGCTTATCCACTAATTACTCCGGAGTAGGATTATGCTGGCAGCAATCAAAGTACTAATAATGACTTTTGTTCATGCAATAATATATTTCAACAAGGTTTTATGCAAGGCTGGAAAAAGTTATAGAAAGTTAAAGGAACAGCTCCATCGCTTTTATACGCACTATCATGTACGTTCCGAAACTACATGTAGGATTTTTAATTCAGATGTATAAATGCGCACTCAAGTATAAAGAAACTTTGTGTACAATTGTTTATTTACACAGTTTGCCTGTTAAACATTGAAAGCCTAAGGCGTAAACACACGGATAAACTTCCATCGGAAACACGCAAGCATATTAATATTAATAACAGATATTACTCACCGAACTTCACTGAAGATGGGAAATGTCTGGTCGGGATGCGAAATGTTGCAGCTCTCCCCGCTTTGATCCACATCTCTGTCAAGGAAGAGGAGAATGCCATAAGCTCCCGTCTGGTGGATCTTTCATATTTCCCACAGCCTGTCCCCTCACAGCCGAGCCTCAGCCCAGCTCCAGAGCCCCAGCTCCAGCCTCAGTCTGATCCCCTGCAGCCAGCCGGGACGAGCCTGGTGAGGCCTGAAACAATAGGAGGCCATGAGGCTGTCTGCAAGGCTCCAGCTTAGCCCGTCTGCTAGTTAACAAGTCTTTGAATGAGGAATGTTAGCAAACAGACAAACAGCATGTCTGATGCATGCAAATAGTACAACCAGTCCAGTCACAGCCTTGGCTGGCTACATGAATAATTCAGCAGTCTATATGCTGCTCTCCCACATTTCTCCCTCCCTCTTCCCGAGTGAAATGCCTTCACTAGAATAAGTGTGGCAAAGTATTCAAACCTCTGCTATACCGGCAGCCTTGGTCGCAAACATTACTTTTAATACTTTATACAAACATGCAATAATAGCACAGGTGGATATGGAGAGACGCGACATGAAGGGTTACTTCGGACGCTTCGCTGCAACAATTAAACATTTCGCAATTACTACATTTTTTTGTCTTATTGCCTTTTAATGTCTTTTCTTTGCAGTTGGCACCTGTCCCAGAAAGAGCTCCGGCTCAGCACACCACTCTGCTGTTAGGAGAGCGAGTCGGTGTGAAAGAGAGAGAACAAGAGGGAGCGAGAGGGAGACACAGAGAGGACATGGGAAGGAAAGAGAAGGAGACAGGGAGTAAAGACGAAGGAGGTGCGATACTTCACGCCAGTCGCTGAAGAAGGACATGTCTTTAAAAACAGACGAGTACCGCTCTTAAATACTGCTCACATTTTATGCTTGTCATCCGTAGTGGTCATTCAGACCACGAGCCAACTCCACGCAGGTTACCCGTCAGAAATGGCGCCCCGACACTCCAGGTGGAACAAGGCCCATCACATGGCAAAACACCACCTTGACAAATTCCCATCCGAAGAGAAAGAAACTAAATAAATACTACTCGAAACCCATCAGCGGGGAAGAAATAAGGCAGACGCGATGCACTTTAAGAACACAACATAAAAAAGAACAGAAGAAACAGAGCCCAAATCCAAAGGGACGCAAAATCTATGCGCCAAAAGTGCGAAAAGGCCCATAAAAAGCAACTTGTTGCCAGGTTTCGCAGAGCTGTTGGAGGCAGAGGGTTAAAATCCAGCTAGTAGTGAGTGAAAAAAAAGCTCCGTCTATGGAAGGGCGGGCTGTGGGGAGGCCCTGACTGTAGAAATAGCAGCAGACTTTTTTTCTTTTTTTTCCCCTCGCAGAGCTTAAGTCTCCCCCTTGCGTGTGGCTGGAGCAGAAAGAGGGGAGCAGGCGAAACAGAGAGAGAAAAAGAAGTGGGGAGAGAGGGAGGAAGAGAGGAGGAGACAGCCAGCGCACAGTGAAGGAGAGAAATGCTCTGCTGATGATGAAATAGGAGGTGCGGCGGAGCGCGCGAACCAGCCACTTTTTCATCACATGTCCAACACGGCAAGGAACTGTATTTGCACCGGAGACTGGGGAGAAGGGAGGGAGGGAGCATAAGATGGGTGGGAGACGGAGACACAGAGAGAGAGAGAGAGAGAGAGGGGGAGTGGGAGGGTGGAAAGCATTAAATGTGGGAGGGGTGGAGGAGGAAGAATGACACAGAAATCCACTCCTCCAGCCGTGCGCAGACGCAGTGCACACACACACTTCCACGCCATACTGGGATACACTATACAGTACCTCAGCTACTATATCAACTCGTGAAAAGAAAAGCGGGGAAAAAGAGATTCACAGTCTCTCAGAACGGACTGCCCCGCTGAAGGACCCTTGAAATATTCAGCACTATTGAGAGCAGGTTGAATTATTAACCGTATCTCTTACTGTAGTGGGGCTTTTGTCGCTGGAACAGTCTTGGGAGCACACTCTGAAAGGAGCACACACTCTCGGAGTGCATTAACTCTTTAGCATGCCACAGTGACTAGCGTGAATGCACACACACACACACACACACACACACACAGGAAAAAGATAAGCTTCCACAGTGTTTATTTCAGTAACATGTGGCGAAGAACGGGGGGCTAGGACCCTCCTCTCTGTCACAAAGCGCGCTGCAGCTGAACCCTCGCAGCTATTTTGGCACAAAGTCAAGAGGCTGATAAGCATTTTTGGGTGAGACTTCGCTGCTTTTCCTCGAGGAAAAACAGCTGCCACTTGCTCGGTAAAATGCATTCAACAGTTCTGAGAAAAATGAGAGAAACCCCCAGAGATGCTAAAATGCTAAAAACCCCAAATAGGATTGTCCAAATAAATTATCTTAACCAAATGTTTGCACAAATTTACATGAAGAGTGAGGAAGCCAGAGAGTTAAGTGGAGGGGGAGACTCAAACAGCATGGCCGTTTCCACCATCTTAGATTGTATTGATTATTCTTTGCTGTAACGTCTGTCTCTCTCACACACGCTAGCTCTCTTTCTCTCCCTTTCTGTCCCTCCCTCCCTTTTTTCTGCCTGTGTTCTGCCACCTTCCCTGCTCGGCGATCAGCATTTGGCTTTTTCCATTTGTGGCAGATTACTGTAACGCTATTGTACAACAACTTCCTGCCTCTTTTGGCACGGGTTCTAAAAAAAATCTGCAAAAGCAGAGCTCGTGGCTTCAAACCTTTTCCCCCCTCGGCCTTGAACTGCAGGAGCTTTATAAGAAAAGAAAAGGAGGAAGGAGATATGTAAAGTTTGTCTGTTACTGAGGAACTATTTTCATTGCATCTCAGCTTTATAAACTGCTGAGAATTAAAGAGGGGACTTCATGCCTAGCAGACAATGAAAGAAAAAAGGTGGGGGTTTAACTTTTCTTACTTTTACACTGTGAAAACGTTCTGTTGGTTTTAAGGGGGCACTGAATTATTAGTGGGGCTGCAGCTCACGCAGATCTGTCTAACATGGCTGCTACTGCTTGGGGCTGCTCAGTTTTGTGAGGGCTGCTTTCATAGCACCGCCGCCTCCCCGTTCCTCGCCGGCTCTCTTCCCCACACAGACACCGGATTCTCCACAAAAGCTCTTCTCTGCACTTCTCTTTGCTCCACAGGTTTCAGGACAAACACAGGTGGCTGAACACAGACCTAGTGCAGACAGAAAATGCATTATTTACACTAACTTGCTGCAAAAAGAAGGCTGGACTGCGATTTCTTTTCCCCCTTCCCTAAATGAGATATGAGCCCGGTCCAGGCATCTAACATTGGCATGAGCTATAGGATCCCATTAGAAGGAGTGCAGCTGTACGTCACATCTCGCCATGCGTTTTAACCAATTGAGAAGGCCATGACTTCATTATGGCTTCAATGTAAAAAGCTGTAATATGTACAGTATATTTTCAGACCTTATTTGGGAATTAATGTGGATCCTGAAACAGAATATGTTAGAGGTCCAAGCATTAGCTGTTCTGGGGAAGCATACTTTGTGTGTTTATGCTTAGTAAGCATAAAGAGCATTGGAGGATAACGTTTTTATTTCGGGTTTCGATCCGTCTCTCCCCACTGGGCTCCTTCACAAAGCTTTTAGGATGCGTTTTAAAAAGAATTAATCATCTTTTAATTTTTACGGCCCTAATTTACAACATTATCGCAAACAAGGCAGAATTTCCAAAATGATTTATCGGTTTCTGATTAAATCCATTGTGCAAACCCTACCCTGATTTTTTCCTGCTTAATTGTTCAAATACGATCGTTTGGAGAATATTTACAATGCCACAGAATTTTAATTGCTCTTCGGTTTATATCATTTCGGGTAAAGAGAAGCCACAGCTTTTCCTCTGCAGTGCATGGCTGCAACATCTGTGTGATACAGAATCAATCAGGCCAATTCAGAATATGATGTGAAACAAAATGGCTGACGGCGCCATGTTATGGACTCTGCCCAACGTTATTTTACTCTGAAAAAAACTCTAAACCCTTTTGCTGATTTGAATTTAAAATGGATGTTATTTATTTTGATAATATTACATAGTTTAATACATGTTTAAAATACTTTGAAGAACTAAATAATAATGATAATAATAATTTTGCATATGTATCAGACTTTTGTCAAATACATTTTGATTCATTATCCAATAATGATCACATGATTATCAGGGCCTGCAATGAACTTTCCCTCTCACACTGATACAATCATATCGTGCAGTGGTCTGCTGCTGACAGGAAAACACACTAAACACATATCTAAGTGTGAGTCCAACACTCTATGACAGAAAGTTCAGATAAGGGGACCGAACAAGGACAGTTTAAAGACACTGCTTCTCTATGGCTTCCTTTCTACAGCTACAGGAAACAGTAAGGAGAGCTGGAGGAATAAGAAACTGCAGTGGGCAGGGAATCTGCAAAGACACACAGTATTTGCTCTTAGTCATTTGCAAACATCAAGGAGGCATTGAGGAGCGGGGGGGTTCTGTGCTTGGTCAGCAACCACCACTACAGCCACATGTGAGACACGATAAAAACACATATATCTTCTAATGGGCTTATTCCAGGGGATAAAAGCTAACCACTAATGTCTCCCTACGCTGCGAGGGAAGATGTTTTACTCTCCAGGAGCAGGAGTGGAGTCTATGAGGTGGTCTTGCTTAAGCCCCGCACGTGTCTAAACAACTTCTCTATTACACCCGAGACCTTTGAGGGCACTCCCCATCGAGCGGGGAACAAAGGCCATGACCCCGGGGTCAAAAGCGTTACACGGGAGGCCAAGCGGGCCCATTGAATGCAGCACTGTTTGCTTTAAGAAGGTAAAGATTACTAACACATTAACTAATGCCGATTAGGGGGTTATCCCTCATGGGACGGCGGTCCCAGGGCAGCACATCACGTCTTATTAACACAGCCTGACCTTTGACCCCAGCAGTCACCTCAGGCAGTCGACTGTGACCACCACTTTCTCCTCTCTGACTGACACACACACACACACACAAGAAATGAAGAGCAACACAGCAAGGTGCAGCACAGCTTGAAACATAAGTGTTGTCTGAACAAACGTGAATAAATGATGCAATATAATCACTGCCCAGTATTTGAAGAGTTAATGCACTCCTGTTCGAGCTGCAAAATTAGCCGGCATTGCACCATCTGTGTGTCTGAAAATAATCAGAGTAATAAGTAGAAGTTCCTAATTAAACATGATCGATCCAAGAAAAAAGAATTTCAAGGCCTCACAAACATGTGCTCTACCGAAGTTTATAAAATGGAAGCATGTGCAATAAAGTTCTCATCACAAAATGGTGGAGAGGACATGCGCAGTATTGACGTCCCAGATGATCATATGACGAAAAGCAAGAGAGGAAACATTTATTCACAAACACACTGCTATTCAAACTTTATTTTTGCATCAGAAAAGTTAATTGGCTTTTTGAACCCTTCTTGTCCAGAAAGAGCAAGCCAATAATAACTTATAGAGACATCCTTCACACACCAGCTTCTTAAATGACTCTTTTTGATCAGATTATTTATTTATTGCAAATGTCCCTCTATAAATAAAGTAGCATGGGAATATTAATTTAATGGAATCAGAAGACTATCAGGATTAGAGTATTTTTCCAAAAAGTCAAATCGATGTTTGTGCAGTGAATTAAAAAATGTGATTTCATTGTTTTAAAGTTTTTGTTTAAAGTTGGCTTCTCATGTAAAAGATGAATAAAAATAGAGCAGATGTTTGAAAATATGCAATTACATGATTGAATGTCAAACATCAATGTATTTCATTAGCTAAACTTTATTTTATAAATGAAAATCTAATTAAGACTGTGCTGGCCTTACATATGATAAATAGAAACTGAATAAAATGAATTCTAAATTATATTTCATATAGAGCACATCATGGAAAAAGAAATTGTGCAAACATTGTGTGTTTAATTTACATTGGAAAAATACCATGATTGTCATTGACACTAGACACAAATGTCTTCTGTCTGGCAAATATTAATATATGTATGAAATGTGTGGGTTGAATGTAAATCTGGTTTTTTATATTAGTTTAGTTTATTTAGTTTTTGCACAGAAATAATAACACCGCAGCACATATCTGTGCTCCCAGGGCAGATATGCACCTTGTGAACTTAATTTTGGACATTTGTGCTTCACAATAGGTTGTTTTAATTAATTTTCTAAAGTTTGCAGTTATATGAATACTAAAGAAAACAGATTTCAGCCAAAGGAAACTTTAAACACGTGCTCCATTATAAAAGATGGTCTTCTGAGTAAATACTCTCTTTGAATCGGTTTTAACCATTAGCAGATTTTGAATTTAAATTAATGCAATTACTATAATGATTTTTAATTATTATTATTAGCAAATATTAAGCAATATATTCTCCCCGCTAGCAATAAATGATTTGGCGGCACATTTATAAGCATGGCATATTTCAAAATCACTTGACTGCTTGTACATACATGATGCTTAGCAATTTTTTCGGGGGGTTTTTTATATCGGATTTTAGTTCAATTGACCGACTGAAATATTTTACAATGTGTCCTGCTACACTCGTTTAATCTCAAAGTGCAAACCAGAGTATTTCTTTAACATCAGATAGCATTTAATCAGCTGCCTTAATATAAACCAAATCAAAAAGATACTCAATTAATCCAAAGTATTAGCTGTGTTGTGCATTATTTTAAATACATGTTCTAAATAAACTACATTTGTACACTGCAGCTATTCCTTCTAACAAGAAAATAGATATGAAGATTTTTATTTTATTTAGGAATAAACTCACCTTGCTGTTTTTCACAGGAATCGGAAAGAGGGAGAAGAGGAGGAAAGAGACACAGAGGGAAAAGGAGCAAAGGAGACTTTCTTGTGGGAACAAGCTGGAAATTATGGACCAATTCGATATGAGACCTCGGAGTGGAAGACCTATCCGAAGAGGGACACGCCCTAACTGTAACTAACAACTACTTCTGGCAGCCCTTCAACAGCCAAACATATTGTCCTGGATCAGGTCAGAGAACCAGGGCAGCCTCGGCAAGAAATCCACATTCAACTAGTACCAATGGTGGAATTTAAATGTAGTCAACTAATGGGTTTTCAATTAGATTTAGATTAAGCTTTAAACTATTATTAGGATTTTGCTTATCAAATGTAAAAAGACTACAGAAACACACATTCAACCAATATGTCTACACTTTGAGACTCTGAGACAAAAAGGGCGACAGTTGCAGGTTTTTTAAATTACTACTAAATATAATCTTTTCTATTATTTTGTATAATATACATGTTACCCATGTTCTCGTCCTATGACGTCACAAGTTAAATTAACCCCTCTTACAACATGTTACTCATTTCACATTGCTGTCATAATTCAAATATTTTTGAAATACATTTTCATTTAACCCTTTCTGACAAAAAATAAATATAGCCGAAGTAAGCAAAGCCACTTTTACATTTACATGTGACTCACTATAATAAAGAATGATTTGATACTAAAATAAAATGTCTTTACATTAATCAAAGGGCTCCTTTAAAATAGAAATAGAGAGATATTTGAACTTATTGAAAATACTGTATAATTAAAGTAATAATGAAAATCAAATTGACTGCAAAACACTAATCAAAGACATTACGTACTGCAGAGACAAATTCTCAAAGTCATTGACACGCTATTGTAAAAAAGCAAATTCTCTATTTCTGTCCTCTTCAATTGCCTTTGCTTCTACATACCTGAACTCTCCCTTTGCAGTTTTACCCTCAGAGCAGCTACACCTACTGTAAACCGCCTTGGCCATTTTGTTTTATTCTTCCTCAACACTAAGCCAGGAGTGCACAGGCCTGGCATTTTAGGCGCCACGTCACAACGCCTGTGTCTGCACTGCAGGGCTGCAAGGTGTCCAGCAGCCACGGCACTCAGCAGCGCACTGCCTCAACAAACACTGTGTGCACCTCTTGTTGTTTTAAGATAGTCCCTAGCATCCCTGCTTCTACTGACAACAGCAAAACATACACCGAAAGCTTTAGAAATGTCCTAAACATGCTGTCATCCAGGTCTTCTCTCCAACACAGAGCCACTGAGCCTTCAGCCCTGCATCACTTCACAGAAATTACCTCAGTAAAGTTAGCTCACACACACAGTAGATATGATACTCATCCAATTGAGCAATGATTTTTTTAATGAAGTTGGTAACCGCTTCTACATTTCTGCACAATAATCTGTGTGATCTTTTAAAAGGTAACACAGTCCTGATATTGATATAAAAGATAAAGATAAAAACACTGATTATGTCAATTCCACTGGGCTGATTAACTGTCATTGAGGTGCATTTGTCATGTTGCATAAAGATATTTATAATATTTGTATAATTATTTTTGTTATGATTATTATTTATTTATATTGATTTTGTATGTGTATTAAACTGTACATTGGATCACATTTTTTATCTTATTTTGACATTTTTTTAATTAATTCAGATTTAGCTGTGTGTGGTTTTATATATTTTAGAGTATTGCAAAGTTACATTATTGTAAATATGACCCTTAATTGTACAGTACAGCTTTTTGAAATAAAAACAGTCTGTGTCTTTAAGTGGAAAAATGAGTTGACATGGATACGGTGACTTGTTCTATTATTTGTGCCAATCACTATTCATTGGAATGTATCAAAATCACTTCATAAACTAGTCCAAGAATTTTGAATGAAGTATTGTGTGTTGCAGAGATGTCCCATTGTATTCGACAGACTCTAAAACAGATACAGATCTACAGATCTTCGTAAAACATCACACATAATCATGTTAATATTTATTTTTCAATAGAAATATGAATTACAATGCGCAAAACGATAATTCCCTGCGATATCATGCATCATATGACAATTGTAATATTAGTAGAAATAATCGCAATTTGATATTCTTTCCAAATCGCTCAGCCCTGCATCAGAGGAGCAATTATAGATATTGAGGAACTTGGTCATCTGAGGACACTCACATTCTACAAAGTGGTTGTTTCTCTAAAAAAGAACTGGCTGGTTTGTGTGAATCATACAGACATTTTTGTCTTCAGGACAGTTGTTTGCTCAACCACGCTTAACTAGATTTGCTGGGCTACTGGGAAACAAATATGCAGATTAATTTATCTTCATATTATTTAAGTTCTTATGTAAATGTGAAATAACTTTTCTTGCCTGGAAATATTTTAGGTTGCTTGTTTTTCATATAAAGTCATTTCAATGCATTTCATGGGAACAGTGTGATACAAATAATATTTATTAAAGGTCACCTATCATGCTATTTTTAGGCAATAGCATAGGTCTCAGATATATACACAGATATAAAAAACATGTCTATGAAGAGTTTTGGTCAAAATACCAAACAGATCACCCATTCCAGCCATGCCTCATATCCCTCTATTTCACTTCCTGTTTCAAAAGTGCTGATTCTGGGTATAAACAGGTCTCTCTTGAGAATGAGACCCTGTGTCTCAATGAGATGTTCACCTGTATAAATAAAGGCTACAAAAAACTGAAAAAAATAAAAATAAGAGGGGGCGGAGCTTATGCCAGCTCATGCGGGACCTGGCAGACTCTGGCCGTTTCTCAATGTCGAGTAAAGCTGCTGCAGAGCCTCTATTTCAAGTATACTACGTCATCGAGTGGCGCCGAAGGACTGTTTAAATGCCCAGCATTCGGCGCCATTCGATGACGTAGTATACTTGAAATAGTGGCTCAGCAGCTTTACTCGACATTGAGAAACGGCCACTGTCTAAAATGCTGCGGTGATGAAACGCAAGGATTATTAGATCAAGGATTATTTCTGAAACAGTATGGAGCTCAAAGGCTTTCTCTCTTGCCGGTTATACCACAAGGTGAGTTCCTTTTTATTTCCTGCTTCTTCACACACATGCTCTGTGCAGTACAGGTTAGCTCTGAGTGTTAGCGATGCTAATGTGAACACCGACCATATTACGTCCAAAACAGTCAGGCATTGTTTCTGATAGCAACGTTTCTGATAGTGCTGTGGGTCCGCCGCCGATATTACGTCATATTGGACGCAAATCTGGATCAGCTCCCGTTTTTAGAGATTTGGGTACGGAGGAAAAGAGAGAGGGTTTTATTTTCTGACGCTGCGTGAGTTCCCTGGCACACCGGGGACACATATTTATGTATAAAAGACATCAAAAAGTGCATTTTGCATGATAGGTCCCCTTTAATATTACTATAATCATTATAATGAGGTAATTGGTGCTAAATAATTTTCTCTTTGGTCCTATTAATTCTTTTTTTTCATCGTCCCTCCTTGTATGTTAATGCACTCCTGATGCTGAATTGCTGACTAGATGGTGCATAATAATACTCGGGTGTTCCCATCATCATCATGGTAAAGGTGTGGACAGCACGAGGGAAACTGCCATACGACAGCCGCTGACCTTTCACACCAGCTTAGAGAGGCGTAGGGTCATGCAGAGGACATGGCGGTGGAGGGAGAAGTCAATCTTATCCTTCCGTTCCGCCACAGGCCTGTGTGCAGCGACAGCAAGATGAGCTACAGGGCTTTCCAAAATCCACACTTGTTTGGCTGGGAGCAAGGCATCAGGGCTGTATGTATTTCAAAGGAAATGCTGAGGAAAGCGTTTTTTGTGGCAGCAACCGTACACTTGACAGTGTGTGTTAGCCTGCCTCCGTGTCTTTGCTCCGTCCCCACCCTTACTCTGTATCCCTCAGTACCAATAACTGTCATCTTTAGGAGCCAAAGTGGCATGCAGCCCATTTGCCTCACAACGGTAGAGAACTCCACCTCGCCTCATCTTGATATGGCTCTCGAGTGTACGTACAATTTTTTATCATTATCTCCACACATTAGGAATGCCTCCAGCTCTGCTAAGCAGTGTAGGGCCGTGAGGTTAAAAGGCAGGAGGCACTGAAATGAGAGGGAGAGCTCTCGGACTGCTGTCAATTGAGCCTGTGCCTCCATAATGGGGATAACCTGGCACCGAACCAACCACTAATGCCCCTTAAATGTCAGAGACTGCAGCAGAAAGGAAGGGAGGCAGCAAAAATGAGAGCACATTCATATTTCAGTACAGCAGATGCTATAATGCGCGGACGCCTCACACTGAGTGCACACAAGGACACCATGAGAGGGAAAAAGACAAGGCAGGCACACATGAAAGAGGGGAAATTAAAAAAGGGACTTTTCAGCAGTGATGGAAGCAGCCCCATCTGATGGTTGTCTCTATTGGACAAAGTTGAGAGTGGATCTGTCTCACTCACACTCCCTCTGTACGTAGACGAAAATCTATCTGGCGGGGGTTGGGGGGGACGGGGTTGAGTCTGGTGTTGGGGGTGGGGTTGGATTGCTGGAGAGAGTGATCTTTTTTTCCAGCGGGGTGAAAGGCGGACGGTCATGTGTGCAGAGCTCATGACAAAAGGCCCTTTTATGTGCAGCGTATGCAGATAGAGGAGGCTCCTTTGTGCACAGATGGAGATCCCATGCCTGGGTCTGCCTGCGGCGGAGAGGAAAGGGAGGGAGGAGAGTAGAGAAGAGTGTTGGTGAAGGGGAAGGGAGGAGTGTATCTGGCACTGAGTGCCATCACTGTGTCTGGTGGGGGGAGGGGGAGCACGGAAAAGGAGAACCAAGCCGTCCTGGTCTTGCCAGGTTCATATATTAGAGGAGGGGCCACAAGGCTCGCTAAGAGGATATTAAAACTGGTAACCCCATAGTGGGATCACCGAAACAGCAGCATCTACTGTCCAACAAGTGGACCAGGGGCAGATGTGTTTTACAAATAATATGTAGTGTTTGTTATAACCGGCTTTGGAAAGCACATATACAGTGCCAGAGATGTTATACAATTATAGGAAATCATGTCAAACTTATCTGAACTAAGGATTATTGGGTTAGAGAAGCTTAACCTACTTTTTAATGCCAGCTATCACATGCTTCCAACAGGTTAAACAAACGTTTTGTAACAGGAACTGTGCCGGACCAGGTAAAAAGGTGAAAACAGGACATCCAATGCCAAGTTCAGGGTCAAATGTATTCCTGCATAGATAACTCTATCTGCTATTATCTTCGTGCTGGTGCTTTGACCCTTGTGGAGTCTCTGGTATGCCTGTAATCAATCCATCTCCGGATGAGATTGTTAGCCAACTGTTGAAAGTGTCTCTTCTATCCTCATGCCACCTTCCCCCCCCCTCCCCCGATAGTGGAGGTGACTCCCACTGACATCCCGTCTGCTGAGAAGACGTCACATCCTATAATTGGCCTCCTCCCACTGACCAGGGCATCTTGACACTACAGCCAGACAGATTCTTATCCTGGCAAAGCACCAGTCATATAGTCATTTTGACAGACGATGGACCCAACACTCAAATGGGTGCAAGTTTCATCACAATACAATTTCATATCGATTTATCAAAGTCTGCTGGGAAACAATTCTGAATCAGGGGCATGCGATTGAGACACATTGATCACATGCACATTACCACAATTAGTTATATTTGTACCAAATCACAATAAGCAACTCAAATATTATTTGACAACTCTATTACTGGTCACTTCCAGGCATATAAATGTAAAATAATCTGTTTTTTTATAAAAACAATAACAATAGACCTGTTGTTATAAAGTGCCACATTTGTCATTTGTAGTTTATCAGGCAATTTACAGAGCCAATAAGCAAGAGCTAGAACGAGGGTCAATGCTGTGTTACTTTTTTTATATTAAGGTTAAACTGTTTTATTACGATAAATTAAAAAACAAGTGACTTACATATTTGGCATCTCCAACTTTCCCTTCCTCTTCTCCTTGCACCAGTCCATCATCCCTGCATACAATTCAGACAGACTTGAAATTAGAATATGATGAAACTACATTTTGCAGATTTTAATTTCAGTCATTGAGTATCACAAATCATGAATTCTTCTTCATCAGTCTGCATGTTAAAATGTGAAGTAAGAAGATATGATTCTACACTGTATTGAAGTAAACATGTATTGTTTGAACTGTTGTATGTATAATCACTTAGAAAAAGAATGTTATTCTCACTTTTAAATTCACTGGCCCAGAGATTCTGTGTTTCATACACCAACATTGATCCTTATCACCACTAAGAGCCAGATGCTGTTTCTAAGTCGTTAAAGACATCGTAAAATAAGAAAAGATCCCCTGGAAAAGGTAGGGAGGGGAGATCGGGACGGAGATAACATTGACTTTTGACCTAGTGTGGTTTGGGGTCTCACTCTGTTCGAAACTCTGATTGACCTCGGCCAGAAGCGAATCCAGCCAATCAGGACACTTGGGGGAGGTTAGCAGTCTAAACAGCTCCTCCCCAGGCGTTCTCTGGTTCGCTTGGGAGAAAAGTGGGAAGGAAGAATCGACAAATCTCCGCCCCAAAAGTAGATAGAAATACTGTTGTTTGTGTGTGTAAAAATGCTTTTTGGGTTTGGTGAGTTGGTTGACTCCGTTAATCTGTATCCGCATCGCACCATTGACAGAAGGCACTCTCTTCTCGTTCGATGGGTGGTTTGATCCCGATACATTTTGGCCGCATCGCATCACGAA